ATCTATTTGACCAATGCTTCTCTAAAAATATCTTCACTTGATTGAGGAATTGCAATAGTAAAATCTTCAGAACTAACTGTCTCTGAGATTTTAATGTTATGAATTTTAAAAACATGATTACGTAAATTGGTTGTGCTACTGTTGCTTATGATAAGATACTTGTCATCTGGACATAGACGGCATTTGGCTTTTTTTTTCTCAAATTTTTCAATTGGAGGTTTAAAATATTACTATACCGTAGCCTCTTGTGTTAATACTTGCATATTGGAAGTAGAAGCCATTGTCAAATTAGAATGATATTAAAGGTAAAAAATTTTGGGTTTACTCATTCAAAGTTTGATATGTTTTATTAATTTAAACAAAAATAATTTACAAATTTTTTAAAAAATGACTTTTATTTAATATTAGTGAAATTATAAAAGGTTAACGCTTTTCTAACTAAAATTTTCTCTCTATTTTATATTTGTCTGTTCCTTAACTCTACCATTTATTACTCATAATTTTGTGCATAATACTTGAGCATAATGATTAATAACACTTATGAAATTATTTTTGTGATGTAATTATGATTTTATCTGACAAATCTCATGGTAATTGATGAAATCTCTGGCAATTAACGAAACTCTTAAATCAATTCAGCCAAAAATAATTACCTAACAAAATTATTTTTTCAATGACAAAAATTTCATTATAACTTCGCTTGATGAAACCTTAGTGATTTATGAAACTCCTAACAATTAACAAATTTTTGGAATTATAGAATCTCATCAAAACCCTGCACTTGGCAAAATCATTGAACCCCCTAATAGTTGATGAAATTACAATTGATGGTATTTTGATTTAGTCAGAAGTAATGATTCCTTGACAAATTATTTTGTGATGACGAAATATTCATAATTCATCTGATGAAATCCTTAGTAATTGATGAAACCCCTGGCAAATGACAAAACTCCTGGCAATTGACTCATAGGAAGACTTTTGTATGCTTGGCTGTTTAAATCAATTTAATTTTATATTATTTATACAGTTTAAAATACTTTCTAAAAGGACTCCATTATTAAAAATAATCCAAATTCCTGTTTGTTTTAGAGAAGTTAGCATAATAGCAACTTCTTAAAGATAGATAGAATTAGGTTATTATCATGCTAATTTCTCTAAAACAAACAGGGATTTGGATTATTTTTAATAATAGAGTCCAACAACCCTAATAAAACTTTATACTTTTTGTTTATTCTTCGTAGTTTGATTTTTTTTTAGAAAGTATTTTAAACTGTATAAATAATATAAAATTAAATTGATTTAAACAACCAATCATACAAAAGTCTATCTATGAGCAATTCACTTGATAATTAGTAAAAATTCAAAGCCCCTGAGTTAATGAAACCTGTGATAGATTTAATAATAGATTTCATCAATCATTAATCGTCAATTTGTCAATTAAAAGTTATCTGAAAAAATGATTTCGTTATTCATCAATAACAAATATTTTATTATTTGTCAGACATTATCACATTAGTGATCATATCTGAGGTTACTATCAGATTCAGGAGTATCAGTAAACTAGTATCAGGTTTAGGTTAGCAATAGTAAACGAAAGAGATATTAATAATATATGGGGGTTAAATGCGAGATAAGAATAAAGAATGCATACAATAAGAATTATAAAAATATCAATGTCTGTATAATGATGTAATTTAATCAAAGGATGATATGAATAGTCTAATTGTAATAAATTAAGAGTATATAATAAAGAAAATAAGAGCAATATA